TAAACTGGAAAGCAGTGGTTATAGGGTATTGGCCTGGACTGTTACTTGGATTGGTAATAGCACACGTCATTGCTTCATACAAGCCGAAGTGGTATGTCAAGATAGTTGGTCCAGATAAGGGCAAGCAAGTAGATCCAGTTAGATTGTTTATGAATCTGGATTCAAGATGGGACAGTTTTAATAATAAGGATAAGGTAGAAGAAGAAAGTGATACGAAAATATAGAATGTGGATATGTTGTTACCTGATGTAAGAAAGAAGTTGACTAGTTTCTGTTACCTTTCGTTCCCTTAATTAAGATCTCTCTTTTGGCTGATAATGTCCTGATGTATCTCTTGGTAGATTGTTGAGATAGAGGCCTATGACATACTGCTTTGGTTCTTCTCTGATTCTTGAATTAACCCAAGCCGATGTTGCTTAGTGCACGAAAGCCGTCGTTTCAGCATCCTGTTAAGGCAAACTGGATGAAGTGAACATAAGAGAGTCCGAGCCTATAAGATCATACAGGTCAAGAATTCAATCTCAAACCAAATATTCACAAGATCTTTTTTTTAAATGTAAATGCTACCACTCACCACTGATACAAATCAGTTTAATGTGAATTAAACAAATTTTCTATCATGAGAGGACTTACCAAATATAACAATCTTCTTACACTTTGAACTAATATTCTCAACAGAGAAAGAAAGTATGCACAATTCAAACCTTCTTTATAGTAAACTTTTTGAGTAGTGGCAAATATAAAGTGGCGAGTACTCACAAATCACTTAGAGAGAGCTATAACCCTTAACATATCCAATCCAGAGTAGCTAAAACCCTAGAATCAAATTCACTAAATTGATTTCATTTCATGATTCGATTATTCTTGCTTATGAAATCACGAGAGAGAAAAAAAAAAAAAGTACAACAAATGAGATCACCTGGGAACTACTTGATTTAGGAAGCCTCTACCAAAACGTCGACGATATTGACGGTGATCGCAATAGCTCCGCCGTCGTCGCATCATAAAATCTCCATCTCGATTTGTTAATAAAGTAGACTTTACCGGAAATACTAACAAATCTGGTTAATTAAATTATTATTACCGGTTTTGTCTAAATTGGTTTACTTACTGCTGGTTTAGCATCTTTTTACTACAAACAAAAACACCAAAGAGATTTTATGATTTCACAATCTCTCTTTCCATAATTGATTATTTTTCCACTAATTCACAAGCTCTCAAGCATTAATCAGTTTTTTCTTTTTCTTTTCTTCTAACAGTTCTTGCGATTGACTGATAGAGAAACTTATAACGCAAAGAGATGTCTAAGTTTTCAAAGTTTGACAACGTCTTCTTCTCCAATTCACAAACAAATCAATACCAAATCTTATCCTTAAGACATTAAAGGGTACAAACTATTTAACCAAGTCTTCTCCAACCAACCAACAAACAAAGGTCACAAATTCTTAAAATATAATAGCCCAAGAAAGTTTAATGAGAATATAAAGTTTCAACAACTATCACTTATTTGCACAAGAAAGTTCAAAGAGAATACTGTATAAAGTCTTCATCTTAAAAGAAAGTATAAGGCAGATATTTTCTATTTCCATTTTTAAATAAGTTAAATCTTATATCAAATATTTTATCCAATGCAAAAAAACAAACACATCCTATGTCTATTTAAACCAATCTTCTCCATCTCTTTGCTTAAATAATATTATTCTTCATAAAAGTTTTCATGAAGACCATAATATCGGTGCTCTTACTGTTTTCTATCTTTGCTCCAAGCTTCACTCTTGTTGTTGGACTTGCTGGTTGTCGTCCCGACCAGATTCAAGCCATAACGCAGTTCAAGAACGAGTTTGATTCCAGTGATTGCAACCAAACTGACTACTTCAATGGAGTCTGGTGCGATAACACAACTGGTGTGGTCACAAAGCTACAACTCCCAAGTGGCTGCCTTCGTGGAACCTTAAAGCCCAACAGTAGCCTCTTCGGCTTGCAGCATCTCCGTTACCTTAATCTCTCAAATAACAACTTCACCTCTGCTTCGCTCCCTTCTGGATTTGGAAATCTCAACAAATTACAGGTCTTGTATCTTTCCTCTAATGGCTTTCTAGGTCAAGTTCCTTCCTCATTTAGTAACCTTAGCCAGCTTTACATTTTAGACCTTTCCCATAATGAGCTCACGGGTAGTTTCCCTTTTATACAAAATCTAACAAAGCTTTCGATTTTAGAGCTTTCCTATAATCACTTCTCTGGAGCCATCCCTTCTTCTCTCCTCACTTTGCCTTTCTTATCATCTCTTCATCTGCGTGAAAACTATCTCACTGGTTCTATTGAAGTTCCTAACTCCTCTACCTCATCTAGGCTCGAGTTCATGTACCTTGGGAATAACCATTTTGAAGGGCAGATCCTAGAGCCTATCTCAAAGCTCATCAACCTCAAGGAGCTCGACATTTCTTTCCTAAACACAAGCTACCCAATTGACTTAAACCTCTTCTCCTCTCTCAAATCTTTGGTGAGGCTTGTTCTTTCCGGTAACAGTTTATTGGCTACTAGTATAAGTTCAGATTCCAAGATCCCACTGAACTTGGAGGATTTGGTCTTGTTGAGTTGTGGTCTCATTGAGTTCCCAACCATCTTAAAGAACCTTAAGAAATTGGAGCATATAGACCTTTCCAACAATAAAATAAAAGGGAAAGTCCCTGAGTGGTTGTGGAGCCTTCCTCGTCTGCGCAGAGTGAATCTTTTTAACAATTTGTTCACCGATTTAGAAGGTTCGGGGGAAGTTTTAGTGAATTCATCGGTGAGGCTTTTAGATTTGGCTTATAACCATTTTAGAGGACCATTTCCAAAACCACCACTCTCTATCAACCTCTTATCTGCATGGAACAATAGTTTCACAGGAAACATACCTCTTGAAACCTGCAACAGAAGCTCTCTTGCTATTCTTGACCTATCCTACAACAACTTAACCGGTCCAATTCCTCGTTGTTTGAGTAATTTCCAAGAGTCTCTCATTGTAGTGAACCTCCGGAAGAACAACTTGGAAGGAAGTCTTCCAAATATATTCTCTGATGGTGCCGTGCTTCGGACACTTGACGTTGGCTACAATCAACTAACCGGGAAGCTTCCAAGGTCTCTTCTGAATTGCTCTATGCTAAGGTTTGTAAGCGTAGACCACAACAGAATCAAAGACACATTTCCTTTCTGGCTTAAGGCTTTGCCTGATTTACAAGCTCTTACCCTCCGTTCAAACAAATTCCATGGCTCTATATCTCCTCCTGATAGAGGTCCTCTTGCGTTTCCCAAGCTGCGCATACTTGAAATAGCAGATAACAACCTTATAGGAAGCTTGCCACCAAATTACTTTGTGAATTGGGAAGCATCATCACTCCACATGAATGAAGATGGGAGAATCTATATGGGTGACTACAACAATCCTTACTATATATATGAAGATACAGTGGATTTGCAATACAAAGGTCTATTCATGGAGCAAGGAAAGGTCCTTACTTCCTATGCCACCATTGACTTTTCTGGGAACAAACTTGAAGGACAGATTCCCGAATCCATTGGTCATTTGAAGGCATTGATTGCACTCAACTTATCAAACAACGCATTCACAGGCCATATTCCTCCATCTTTGGCAAACGTGACAGAGCTGGAGTCACTAGACCTCTCAAGAAACCAACTGTCCGGGAATATTCCTAAAGGACTCGGGAGCCTCTCGTTTTTGGCGTACATAAGTGTGGCCCACAACCAACTCACAGGTGAAATACCACAAGGGACACAAATCACTGGGCAATCTAAATCCTCCTTTGAAGGGAATGCAGGGCTTTGTGGTCTTCCTTTGGAGGAGACTTGCTTTGGGAGTAATGCGCCACCAACACAACAGCCTAAGGAAGAAGACGAAGAAGAGGAACAAGTGTTAAACTGGAAAGCAATGCTTATAGGGTATGGGCCTGGACTGCTGTTCGGGTTGGTAATAGCACACGTTATTGCTTCATACAAGCCAAAGTGGTTTGTCAAGATAGTTGGTTCGGAGAAGCGCAAGGAAGTCAATCCAGTTAGATTGTTTATGACTCTGGATTCAAGATGGGATAGTTTTAATAATAAGAATAACGTAGGACAAAAAAGTGATATGTAAATGTAGTATGTGAATATATTGTTACCTGATGTAAGAAAGAGGTTTTACTAGCTAGTTTCTGTAACTTTTGGTTCCCTTAAATAAGATCTCTGTTTGGCTGATAATGTCCTGATGTATGTCTTGGTATATTGGTTGAGAAAGAGGCTTATGATATACTGTTTTGGTTCTTCTGTAATTCTTGAACTAACTCGAGCTGAAATTTCTTTATAACGCACGACGTCATCTTCCAGCAATCCTGTTAAGATAAATTGGATCAAGTAAAACATACGCGAGTCCAGAGACTTACTAGTCTCAAGAATTCAATCTCAGACCAGACATTCATGAGATCCCTCTTTCGAGTGCAAATGGTGCACACTGATACAAATCAGTTTGATGTGAATAAACAAATTTGTATAAATTAGAGGACTTACAAAATATAACAATCTGCTTCACAGTTTTCTCAGATAACAATGAAATAAAGTGTGCACATCATGAAAACTCTCTCAAGTATTGTTTCTCAATTATAAAATCACGAGAAATTATGCGAAAATGAAATCACCTGGGGATCCTTGATTTCGGATTCCTCCACCAAAACTTCGACGAGAGTGACGGTGATCGCAATGGCTCCGCCGTTGTCAAGTCATAAAATATCTTTCTCGACTTGTTTCATTAAGTGGACTTAAACCAAATCTAACTATCCGGTTCATTAAACTATGCATACCGGTTTAATATAAATCGAAATGCAGTCTTGGTCTAAACTGGTTTACTTACTGCTGGTTTAGTTTAATGATGGCTCTAATTGTAAACGCTTTTTTTCAAAATTTCCAACACATTGTTCGTTGTTCAATTAATTATAAGCTATGACTTATTTCATCTGACGATTTCTTTGGAGAAAATAAGCAATTTATTGATAAACACACGAAACATAAACAAACGTACAGAAAAAAAAAAAAAAAAAAAACGGACAAGCTGTTGAAGGATCATATGGTATCACACTATTCACGACCCTCCCTTATTGCATCACACACACACATATTGACAAACACGCATCATCAACGAACAGCGTCTATGCAGAGTCAACTCCATAAAAGAAGAGATCACCAAACCGATCATTAGTTTGAGCTTTCCCACCAAGCATCACCAGTCCTTTCTTACCATCAATGGTCCCAGTCGTGGACGCAGACCATCCTCTGATACTCGGAGTCTCTTCCTCTTCACCAAACTTATCCAGCTTCTCCCACTTCAACGTCTCTGTATCCAACGCAAAAGTTCCACCACTCAATTGACCCGGACCTACGTGAGCTTGTGGGTCCATCGCTATCTCACCTCCAAATATCAAAATATGTTTCCCAACAACCGCACTAGCAAACACACTTCTCGCACACGGCTTCTCACCGAACGTTTCCACTTGTGTCCACTTGTCTTGAACAGGATCGTAGCAATGTACATCATCTACTTCACATCCGTTGAATCCATACACAACCCATACCTTCCCTTGTACCACTTCGAGCCCGGCTCCTCCTCTTATGCTAAAGGAACCTCCCGGGGTCGAACACTGCACCCACTTGTGATCAACGATGTTGTAAGCGTCTAGTGTCTTGAGCCGAACCGTAGCACTCACTCCACCGAAAACGTAAACGTTGTTCTCATCCGCTGTCATCGAGTGGAAGCTACGAGGAGTGGGCCCTTGTTCGACCGGAGTTAGCAGTTTCCACTCGTTCTTGATCGTATCAAACGAGTAGAAGCCGTTGTATTTGCGTGAAGCGTCTCGGCCTCCAAAGACATAGAGGTTTGATCCAATTGACACCATACGGACGCCTAAGCAAGAGAGGTTTGGAACGTCTCCGGTGGCTGGAGAAATGGACCAAGTCCGGGTCTCGAGGTCGAAGACATAAAGGTGTTTGTCGATGGGCTGATTTGGTGTCAGCTCACCACCAAAGGAGTAAATCTTGTTTCCTACTTGTGCTATGTCATGTGAGCATCTTGGCCCTGGACCCTCTCCTTTTTGCTCCACCTTATAAATAAATAATATTTGTTAGTTTTATCCTCAAGATATTTAGATTCTGATTAGTAACATGCATGCATAATAGTGGAATTATTTGGCGATTCTTTTAGATTAATGAAAAATGTAAAGGTAAAACTGTCTATGGATTTCCAATAAAAGCAAATGTTTTTTTTTCTCTTATTACGGTTTCTTTTTTCCATTTTTATTGACTTTGTATGGGTGAAAAATCATTTTTTATGTTGGTCTAAGATATTACTAATACCTTTATCCACTTTCCACGCAATTTCGGAGTGGACGGCGAAGAAATATAGGCTCCAAGTGAGTGCAAAACATCAGTGGAACGTCCGTGAAACCCAACGATTTTGCCACCTTGGAGGACAAACTTGGTCCCGGAGACGATTCCAAACGGCGGAGAAGTTTTGCCTTTATAAGTCTTGAACGTAAGAGTTGAAATGATCTCTTTTGTTGAGACCCCAAAAACTTTCTCATGATAACCTTCCACGTATACGATGTAGTCATCCGCATCAACCTCAAACTACAAAAGAGATTAATTCTCAACGAGGAAACCAATAAACAATCTCAACATGCATAGATAGATAAATCTATGTTAGTACCTCCTCAGCTCCTAGCAAAGTCTTCTTCCCTCGTTCATCTCCAACAACCACTTGAGAACCATTGACATACTCAAACTTGACGAAGGCGATACCATCTTCACCTTGCCCTACGTATACTTTTCTAACACCGTCGTAAGCACCATCATCCCATACATCCCCTATCTCACCACCCCTTGCTTCCACCTTTTGGGCCATCTCTTTTGCTTGCGAGTTGATCAAATCTTACCAATATTGCCTGTTACTACGAATATAATCAAATCTTATACAAACTACAATCATATAAGAAAGAGGGAGAGATATGTGGGGAGAGCTGACCTGAGGCTGAGAAGAAACTAACGATTGTTACATTACATGATCCTTTTGGAAAAATTGCATGGGTATTTATTGACCCATGGAAGATACACGGTCACCGTTTCAGATTTGTCATGTTGTTTTGGCCCAGGGAAAACAATAGAAAATAATGTAATTAAATTATAAAGTTCTATATATTATAATCAATTAGTTAAAATTATCATTTTAAAAATGCATAAAGTATATTTTTATAACTGGAACCAATATATTTTGAAAGAAAAACATATTAATTAGAAAGGAAAATTTGTAAGAAAAAAACGCACAATATAATTTTATTTTCCATATGGAATGAAAAAATCACTAATAAATGTCCCAAACAAATAAAATTAGTATTCAAACATAAAATCTGGAAACTGTGGCAACTGGCCCCTTTATCACTCATGTAGAGACGCGAGGCATCAAAATATCAAGTGTTGCCGATATATATGAATGATGATTACTTCATGGGTATATAATGCTAATTGTTGCCGATAAGAATAATGTGTACACGTCGACGTATTTGGTCTTAAGGTCTTTAGATGTCTATCAGGTAGTTCATGTTTTCTGTAATAAAGAATCATATATCAAACACTTAGCAGAAAATGCAAAACTTCAGACATGCTATTTAAACCCTAAAATATCAATCCGAGTTGCTAAAATCCATTTCAATAGATTGATTTCATAATTTTCATTTCATGATTTTTGTCAAAACTAATTGACCTTGAGTGGGTGTTCTTAACTATATCGTTTCTATTGATTTTTTTAGTGCTCAACTGATAGGGAAACTGGTAACGCAAACAGATATATGTCTCTGTTTTTTAATTTTGACGTAATCTTCTCAAATCTACTAACAAATACCAGATCTTATCCGTAAGGCATTAAAGATTACCAGCTATTTAATCAAATCTTCTCCAACCCACAAACAAAATTTAATGCCATGTCATTGTAATAGTACAAAAAAATTCAAAGAGAAATTAAAGTTTCACCAAACTATCTTTTTGTTGTTGTTGTTGTTGTTGTTGTTGTTGTTTTAATTACAGTTTATAAGCAATGGAGGCTCTAAGAACAGATTATCAAATCTTTTTATACATCTCTTTTTGGTTTAATAATTTCATCAAACTTTTGAATCACAACCATGTTCCCATCATCTCTGCTTTTGCGTTTTCTCTCTATACTCTTACACTTAGCTTCGAGCTTCTTAATGATCAATGCTCTTGGCTGTCGTCCCGACCAGATTCAAGCCCTTATGCATTTCAAGAACGAGTTTGATTCCCGCAGTTGCAATCAAACTGACTACTTCAATGGAGTCTGGTGCGATAACACGACGGGTGCTGTCACCAAGCTACAACTACCAAATGGCTGTCTCAGTGGCATTCTCAAGCCCAACAGTAGCCTCTTCGGGTTGCATCAGCTCCGTCACCTTAATCTATCACACAACAACTTCATCTCCTCTTCACTTCCTTCCGAGTTTGGTGTTCTCAACAGATTAGAGGTCTTATCTCTTTCCTCTAACGGCTGATCATCGGCCAAGTTCCTTCCTCATTTAGTAATCTAAGTCGGCTTTACTTGTTAGACCTTTCCCACAACCAGCTCACTGGTAGTTTCCCACTTGTACAAAACCTAACCGAGCTATCCATTTTATCGCTTTCTGATAATTACTTCTCTGGGACACTGAGTCCTAACAGTAGCCTCTTTGAGTTTCACCACCTCCGTTACCTTGATCTCGCTTACAACAACTTCACTTCCGCTTCTTCACTCTCTTCTCGTTTCGGCAGTCTCAACAGATTAGAGTTCTTGTCTCTTTCCTCTAATCGCTTCATTGGCCAAATTCCTTCCTCATTTAGTAACCTAACCTGGTTAACCCAGTTGGATCTCTCACATAACGAGCTCACTGGTAGTTTCCACCTTGTCCAAAATCTCACCAAGCTTTTCTTTTTGAAACTTTCCTATAATCACTTTTCTGGAACCATCCCTTCTCTCCTCACCATGCCTTTCTTGTCAAATCTTGATCTCCGTAGAAATTTTCTCACTGGTCCTATTGAAGTTCCAAACTCCTCTTCATCTAGGCTGGAACATCTATACATTGGGAATAACCAATTTGAAGGACAGATTCTAGAGCCTATCTCAAAGCTCATCACCCTCAAATATCTAGACATTTCTTTTCTAAACATAAGCTACCCAATTGACTTAAGGCTCTTGTTCACTCTCAAATCTTTGTTGATACTTGATATTTCCGGTAATAGTTTATTGGAAACTAGTATACATTCAGATTTAGACATCCCATTGAACTTGAAAAAACTGGACTTGTCCGGTTGTGGCATTAATCAGTTCCCAACCTTCTTAAAGAGCCTTCACAACTTGGAGTTTATATTCATTTCCAACAACAGAATCAGAGGGAAAGTCCCTGAATGGTTGTGGAACCTTCCTCGTCTGATCTATGTGAGTCTTTTTAACAATTTGTTCACCGATTTAGAAGGTTCGGGGGAAGTTTAAGTGAATTCATCGGTGAGGTTTTTAGATTTGGCTTATAACCATTTTAGAGGACCATTTCCAAAACCACCACTCTCTATTAACCTCTTATCTGCATGGAACAATAGTTTCACAGGAAACATACCTCTTGAAACCTGCAACCGAAGCTCTCTTGTTATTCTTGACCTATCCTACAACAACTTAACCGGTCCAATTCCTCGTTGTTTGAGTAATTTCAAAGAGTCTCTCATCGTAGTGAACCTCCGGAAGAACAACTTGGAAGGAAGTCTTCCAGATATATTCTCTGATGGTGCCTTGCTTCGGACACTTGACGTTGGCTACAATCAACTAACCGGGAAGCTTCCAAGGTCTCTTCTGAATTGCTCTACGCTAAGATTTGTAAGTGTAGACCACAACAGAATCAAAGACACATTTCCTTTCTGGCTTAAGGCTTTGCCTGATTTACAAGCTCTTACCCTCCGTTCAAACAAATTCCATGGCCCTATATCTCCTCCTGATCGAGGCCCTCTTGCGTTTCCCAAGCTGCGTATACTTGAAATATCAGATAACAACTTTACAGGAAGCTTGCCACCAAATTATTTTGTGAATTGGGAAGCATCATCACTCCAGATGAATGAAGATGGGAGAATCTATATGGGAGACTACAACAATCCTTACTATATCTATGAAGATACTGTGGATTTGCAATACAAAGGTCTATTCATGGAGCAAGGAAAGGTCCTTACTTCCTACGCCACCATTGATTTTTCTGGGAATAAACTTGAAGGACATATTCCTGAATCCATTGGTCTTTTGAAGGCATTGATTGCACTCAACTTATCCAACAACGCTTTCACAGGTCATATTCCTCTGTCTTTGGCAAATGTTACGGAGCTTGAGTCACTTGATCTATCAAACAACCAACTCTCAGGGACTATTCCTAATGGACTCAAGACCCTCTCGTTTTTGGCTTACATAAGTGTGGCTCATAACCAACTCAAAGGTGAAATACCACAAGGAACACAAATCACTGGACAACCTAAATCCTCATTTGAAGGGAATGGAGGGCTTTGTGGTTTTCCTTTGGGGGAAAGTTGCTTTGGGAGTAATGTGTCACCAACACAACTGCCTGAGGAAGAAGACCAAGAAGAGGAACAAGTGTTGAATTGGAAAGCAATGGCAATAGGGTGTGGGCCTGGACTGTTGCTTGGATTGGCAATAGGTCAAGTCATCGCTTCATACAAGCCAGATTGGTTTGTCAAGTAGTTGGTTTGTATAAATGCAGGAACCACTAGGATTGTTTCTGTTTTGCTTTCAATCTTTGAATGCATGTCAAGTCATTGTTGGTCTTGTAATGAAGTAATTACTACTTTGATAATGTAAGAATGATGAACTTTCAGTAGTTATATACATATATGTTTCTTCTGTTCCCAACTTTCATGGGATCCATGGCGGACATGGAAAAGCCTCATGTCATATACAAACATGAAACAGAGGAGTGGGAAAAAGCAGAGAATCCCACAGCTTATGTCGGATAACAATTATACACATGAGAAACTTTGTCAAGTATTGACTCATTGTCACTTAGTTACAATCTACAACTGTAAACAAATTTACTGGACAAACTCCAATTTCATTGATTGCATAAACAGAAGATATACACACTTAACTTGAATAATAACACAAAGAGAGATTGTGAAAATCCTTAATACATATTCCTCTCACTGTTAGCTTTGGGTAATGTAATTGAAGTAGTGACTACAATGCTAATTTATCAAAAAAAATAAGCAACCAACTTTGTCAAGTCACAAGCCTACTAATTTCATTCCCTTGTTTTTTGAAGATTCTCTTGTGACATTAGCCTTGCGTTTTACGGGACTCTCTCAGTTCTTGATCTCTGATGCTATGCCTCCAACATTGAAGAAGTGCTGCTGCAGAATTGCAGATTTTTCGGTTCTTGTGTTTTGTAAGATTCTCAAGCCTCACCATGATCCGTCTTGTTTCAGTAGCAGTTGCGCTGATGGGGAACTCCATGAGTAAAGAGAGTGTGTCTACGCAGATTGATGTCTCTACTTCAGCCGCGAGAAGACCCTTTGTGTTAGCCACATCAGCTGATTTCTTGGCTATTTCGAACAGTTCTAGAGTCTCCGTGTCGTTCTTCTTCAAGACAGGGCAATATTTAGGGTCTTCAGATACTTTCACAGGTTGATGATTCTTCAACTTGAGTGGCCTTGATGTTGCTGGAGCAGATTTCTTCAAAGTTTGCTTAATCTCTCCCGTTGCATGAACCCCAGATCTAGGGTTTTTAGAAAGTTTCATAGGTAGAGCCGATTGCTTCTTCACTCCAGTTTCTTCACGAGTCTTAGATCTTTCATCTGTGTTCTTCTTCGGCACCAAAAACTCAGTCTTTTTCTTAGTCTCTGCCGCAAAATCATGAGATCTCTGATGTTCGTTCTTCTTCAACTCCGAACTTGCTTTAACAACATTAGGTTTCTTGAGATTCAAGGGAAGAGCTTTGTTGCAAGTATAAGCGTCGTCTCTTCCGCTGGAAGAAAGAGTACTCATCCAGGAGGAGTTGAACAAACCGTGACCTACCATTCGTAATCTACTTAGGGTTTCACTCTCTCAAATTTGGATATCGAATTATGGAAAGAGAGAAGAGTTCTCAGATATTATATAGAGCGTAGAGAGTAGAGACCTAAACAAAAAAAGGAAATAAAAGGAAGCTTCCTTCACTCCCACGCAACAAAACAACGTGGGCCGATACTATTTCCATTTTTCTTGTCAAGTTCCACAAAGGGTAAATCTGTCAGAGCGGGTATTTTAACGTTGAAACAATCAGGACCAACAAGGGTATTTTCGTCAAATATAGTTTCTTAAAAAATCCTCTGTTTTCGTTCTCTCTTAATCCGATCCTCTGTTTTGTAAGAAGCAGAGGATTATAAGAGCCGTGGGATTAACCAAAGACGGTTTGTTTCAGTTCCATGTAACACGAAGGAAAGCAATAATTGGTCTGTTTCAACATAAATTTACATAAACCAAAATTACTTTTACAAAAAATATAGATTAAAAAAAAAGAGAAAAATCCTCTCAGTTTTTACATTCGGATCCAAATTTACACTGAGATTCCTCCACTGCCTGAAACATCATCTGGAGGACTAATGGTGATCCAAAGCAGCGACACGGTAATCGACACAAGCCCGGACCAAACATAAACAATCGTTGGAACCTTTCCTCTTCGACCCATCAATCCTTTAGCAAACGGATACATATGAGTCAACACCCATAAACTAAAGAATATTCCTCCTAGTAACTTGCCCCATTGCGGAATCACACTGTATATCGTCCTCGAAGCTCCAATCACTATCGCAACAAGGTTCACTACAATGATTGTAAGCGGCATGATGAATAAGCCCGTCCATTTCACTATGTAAAGATCCGCAAAGATGTCATCTTCGTCTTCTCCTGCGGATTTCGATGTCAGGGTGAATGAGATTTCGATTCCGGCTATTACTTTGAGCAAACCTTGGACGACTGCTGCGAGATGAGCGCTTGTGCCTCCTATTAACCAAAACTGTTCATTTCTCCACCATTCTTCCAGACCGATGCCTGACCATTTGACCTCGAGGAGTGAGATTAGGGTTAGGGTTACGGTGATGCAGAGAAGGTAGGAGAGGAAGTGTATATCAAGGCTCTGGACGATGAATTTTCCGCTGAAGAGACAGAGAGCAGGGAGGAAGCAATAGACGACCAAGAAGATGGAGGTAAAAGGGTAGATCCCGACGTTGAGGTAGGCGACTCGCTGGAGAAACTTGAGCCTTCTGGTGGCGAACATGGCATTGTTCTTGGAGAAGAAGATTTCTACAGAGCCTGTGGCCCAACGGAGCACTTGATGGAGACGGTCAGTGAGATTGATTGGAGCTGTGCCACGGAAAGCATCGCGTTTTGTAATGCAGTAAATGGACCGCCAACCACGGTTATGCATACGATAACCGGTCACCACGTCTTCAGTGACCGACCCGTAAATCCATCCGATTCTATCTCCCCATTCGGTATTGTCTTCATACCTGAAAGGCCATATTAAATTCTAAAGGTTTAACTACATAACCGTTTATACTAACAGAACATATCTAATTTTTCAAAACATTACCAGCAAGAAATGACAGCGATGGCTTCAGCCACAGTTGGAGCGTCAAGGGGAGGTCGTGGCAGGAGCAAAGCACCGGGTGGTCTTCCGTTTTTAACTGACATGTGATCTGCTAGAGGCCGTCCTTGGTACTCTGCAACCGGAATAGTGTCTGTGAACATTGTCGAATTACCAAACTTTTTGGGCAGACCAAGATCTGGATCATCATTAAGAGGCTGTGTATCAGACTCTAAATCAGACGCTTGGGACGTTTGGGATGCTTGGGACTGAGTCCGGACATGCATAGCTGGAGCCTTTTCCTGACCAAACACGCCTGAGTACTCATTGGCTCGAGGTGGGTTGAATCCATAGAGAGCATACCTTCGGAACATACACCCTGTTCCGACATAGACGGGACCTTGTAACCCATCTAGCGCTCTCATGTTCCCTGTTTCAGAACCGAAAAATGTTATAAGTTATGGTAGCTTGTGACATAAGCATTACAATTTTTTGGTGGTTGAAAGTCAATGTAACAACTAACCGTCGAAGAAGACGGTATTGTGATTTGCATATCGATCAGATGGGTCGATTCCTTCGAATCGTTGTGGAAATTGAATGTAACAGACCCTGTCACCGCCTCGGTCCATCATGAAACACATTCCTTCTTTGATAGCTTTGGAGTTGTAGATGTAATGATCACAGTCTAGATTGAGGATGAACGCGCCATTGGATAGTATGGCTGAAGCTCTAACCATACCATTCATGGCACCGGCTTTCTTGTTGTGGTCAAAACCTGGACGTTTCTCACGCGAGACATAAGCAAACATAGGTACGCGAATATCAATCCCTGTGAAATCCAGCGCGCCTTCATTCGGTCCGCCCATCACCGGTTCAAGCTCAGGCACTTTGCTCATGATCTACAAAACATTAGGTCAAGTTTGACAAGTTCTCATGGTTTTATTTGAATCAATGAAGTTGATGGTTCATACCTGTAGAATTCCGGCGTGATCACCTTTTGAATGATCAGGTTTAGGTTCAAACCATGTCCCTGGCCAATGCGTACCATCAGCCATCCACGTTGCTTTTACCACCTCAACCCCATCTGGCGGCAATACTCCCCCATTTTTCTCTCGGGCAATCCGCTTTTCCTTGAGCTCTTCTCTCATGTTGAACTGTTCAGCTCTTTTCTTGATTTGTTCTGGAAGACCATTGATCCTGACCTTGAATTCGTCATACTCACGCTTGATCCAACGACGATCTTTGACGAAATCTTGCCTTTTCTTGTTTTTTGTTGGGTCCTTTTTAATGTTAAAGTAACTATCCGGGTTCCGTGGCTCTATATCATGTTTTCTGCAAAATGGCACCCAATACTGCAAAGAAAATTCAAAACCATATAGCTTTTTGCCATCATCTAATAGACTAGTTAAGATACAGAGGGAGAGAAAGCGGAAATGAAACCTCAGCAAAACGAACAGCTTCAGCCATGGCTTCAAAGGTGAGAATTGCACCACCATCGTCTGAAATGTAGGCAGAAAGCTTCTCAATTGGATAATCCACGGCAAGGATCGAGAGAAGGGTGTTTGCAGTGACTAAAGGCGGTTCTTTTTCTGGGTCAGCCGTGGAAACAAACACATCAACACCGGGAAGATCAGAGCGACCAGTGGGATTTGACGGAGAGGGCTGCTCAAATTTGTCATGCAAGGCAGCAAGGTCCGTGGCTCTGTTTATAGGGTTTAGCTTCGGAAGAATGTCAAGAATCCAAGAGAAAGCGAACCAAATCTCGCAGACTATCGACAGTCCCCATAGCCACATAGCATCCTCATTAGGATTCGTAACACGCCACCAAAGGAAGAAGAAGACTATCACAAGACGAATCACGATTAATAACCTGAAACAAGGGGACAAATTGTAAGATTTTGATGTCCTGTGATAGAAATCAAAAGAAGAAGATGAAAATTATGAGAGGGTTATATGTGAAAACAAACAGTCACCTGTAGGGACTAAGAACTTTGGCCGGGACATTAACTTTCCTCGTGAGAGGTTTCCATGGCTTGTCTAAGAAATCGGACTTGCTAACGCCACCATCATAGGTATCATCCTCTTCTGACCAAAACGCGTTTCCAATTCCGTATTTTCCTTTCGATTCAAACAACCACCTGTTATGATCAAAATCTCCCGTCTGGCTCCTCAACAACATTGATTTGTTATTAGATTTCATGACAGATAATCTCCTCTCCAGCTTATTCCCCATCTTAGGCCCGTCTCCTCCTCCTCCACCTCGGTTAGCATCACCTTTCGACTCCGAGGTAGACCCGGAGGAGCCAGCAGGTTGGTTGTCTGGTGTTGGAGGCATGAGGACGGTGTAATTGATGTAATCATTTTGGCTGGAGTAATCGCCAGAGACGTCCATGTCATCGTCACGGGAGAGGCTAACAATGCGACCACTGGACGTCCGGCGACCAAACTTGACAGCTTGTGGAGGCCGGCTTAAGGAGGAAGATTGTGAATTTAAGGTCTTCTTTGGTGGACTTGAAGCCATTACAATTATGGAATTTTCTTGTTTTGGGTCGTTTGGTTTCTTCAGAAAGAAACTGAACCCATTTTTTTTTTTTTTGACAAACCTGATTTAGGAAAAGAGAAAAATAAGAAAACAGAGGAATGTGTTAGGAGGGAAATGTTAAAGCTTTAGAATTTCAACGGTTAATAGATCCTTTTCTATTATAAGAAAAAAAAACTTAAAATTGAAATCTTTGAATTCTGAAATCTCCTTTCTTTGTGCTTTGCCTCTCTCTATCTCAATGAAGGTTGCCTCTCTCTACAGAGATCAAATCATCAAAGACGATAACTAAGATAAACAAAAAAAATACTCTCTCTCTCGGAAACATTACCAAACTCTAGCTAGAATCAAGTGTTTAGCTTTACCAAATTTCCCTAATTTAACAACCATTGAATTTCACATAGGAGGGATCAGAAACAATACCAAAGCAGGTTAAAATTCACAGGTGGTTTTGATTACTCATCTCCGTCTGTTTCCTTAACAATGTAGTCGCAGCTATGCGTTTAACCCCGCGCACGATAGCATCTATCCATCGATTAGACGCCAAATCACGTCTAGTCCAGAAGCCTTCGGACCGGCGTCGGAGATTTTCCGACAAAACAACCGCGAAATCAGCCGGAGTCGAAAACGTCTTCAGCATGATGGCTAACAATTCGAAGAAATTCCAAAATTTCACAAAATTTCTCATCAGAAGAATCGAAAACAGGCGAATTGTTTCCGAAATCAGGGAAGCAGAAGAGAAAGGTTTGAGCAATTTGATGTTGCAGCAACGAAAGAGTGGTGATGATTTCGACGACAACTGTACAGTAAATGTTAAAAGTTAAAACCGATGAACTAACCAGAGATTCTGCTGAACCGGTCAGACCAAACCCGTGTTAATATTAAACCGGCTAGACTATCATCATCACTGCAATTCGCAACTAGAGCCTCGTCAACAGACCAAAGCAATTAGTAAGTGTTAGCGTCCAAATATTGGTTCGCAAGAATTAGTTTCAGTACCAGCAATAGTAACGTTGCAAATTGTCGAACATTCATACATATATGTATAATATATATGGCCTATACAAAACCAATTTCAAGAAGTACAATCTAAGAAGAAACATAGCATGAGAATTTAGAAACCACAAAAAGAAAGCAGCACAACGAACTGAATGAAGATATTCTCAGAGATCTTGGGAAGCACAGAGCGCAGTCGATAACGCCAGGAAGAAATGTTCCAGACTTATTTACCGCAGTTGAATCCCCCACAAACCGAGAGGATGATGATGAGAATCAAGGCAATGATAATTGCAAGAACAATCAGTTTTATCTTCATGTTCTGAAACCACATCTTTCTTCTCATTTGAGTTCCTTGTGTTCTGAAATCTTGCGCCTGTGATAATTTCGAGTTCAATTTAAAGTTAGAAACCCAAGAAAAAACAATCAGTGTTAGAAAGCTGCAACTCAAGCATGTCTCTCTGTGTGTGTATTGACTTTGAACCATTTAGAGAACCAACCTGTGAACGAAGGTTTTCTGTTTTGTCCACCAAAAGCTCAATCTTCTCACCACGGTCAAGAACCTGCAAACGAATGAGTTCCACAACGCATAAACGAGTTAACAGCATAATATATCTTCACAACCGAGAATAAAACATTCCTCTCTACAGTTAATGCTTTACGAATCATAAGAACCTGGTACTAAAGTCATACTAGCTGAACTCTGTTGGAATAGGTTTAGAACATAAAACTATACAGGTAAAAGAAAAAGAGTCAGAATCGAACCTTCTCAATGTTTTCCATCATTACACCTTTAACTTCAGACACTTGAGCCTTCACCTTAGCAAGCTTGCTAATCTCATCAGGGTGGTCCATACAATACTGCATGTGCTCTTTCAGTTTCGACCTTTAGAGCAGCCAAAAAGGAGTCCATCAATGACTATGCACATGAATAATGATACAAACTTCTCAACACCAATCAAAGAGATCAAAAAACACATACCCAAATTCTTTATTCAAGCTGTTTGCTTGAGCAGTTGCAGCCTTTCCACCACCATATCTCTTGTTAAAATCCTCCTTCACTCGTTCCAAGAAAGCCATAGGAATCTGCCTCCCAGCAGAATCAACTGCAACAACACAATAGGCTGCACAAACGATAACAAAAACGGTCAATTTTTTAACTCCGTATTGCGAGATAAAGCAGTAGATTCACCAATATATAGCTCATAAGAACACTAACACTATAATAAAGAGTCCATATCCACCATCAACATCAACCAAAATCCAATTACGTTTAGTAAAACAGAGCTACATAAGGAACACAATAAACCAATGCAATTAGCTCAAGCGATATATCCACAAATTTCCCAAACAACAAAAACTTCATGAAATCAAAAGCTACACGCAAATAAGCCAAGAATCATAGATCCAGAACCAGAATTGCAAATATTCATTAACAGATCCACCAAACATATCACTGATTATAGATCTAACATCAATTAATAATCAACGCCAATACATAACTATTACTGAAACTATACAAAACATACGAACTCGATTCAAAATTTCTCAATTAGGTAAAAAATCTAATTCAACAATGAATAAATCGACAAATCGAAAACACAAACACATCACGAGCATAGATCGAGCAATATCTTGACTCACTGAATCCATTTTCGACAAGGTAATTGAACGTATGACCATCGCAGTTATAGGTAAACTTGTTGTTCGAAGAAGGAAGCTTCTGAAGGCACTGAGCAGCGATAGATGTGAAATTGCCTTTGAAATCTGTGAACTCGACAAGGATTACGGTGCCGCGAGCGACGAAACTGTAGATCAACGATTGTTGCGCCATTTTTTTTTCCTTAGAAAACGACGCGAATCCGATTCGATTTTACGGGAGCGATCTCAGAGATTTATATCGGCGAGCAACGAAGCTTTAGAGATCTAGAAGACTTAACGCTGAAACGCGTAGAGAATCGAGGACTAAGTGGTGAGAGAGAGAGAAAAGAGAGAGAAGACGGTGAAAAGGAAAAGCGTAGAAGAGATCTTAACGTAATTGAAGAAGAATAATCAAAAATTAAACCCTTGAATTTTAAGGGACTATTTTTTTTTTATTTTTTGTCATCCGAATTTTAAGGGACTAAATGAGATAATTTCAGAAAGATTTCGTCTTGTGCAAATTTCAAATCTAAAGAGGACCTAAAAGCAAATTTGGAAAATTATAACAAGTAAAGTAACGAAAGTTATATACAGTATAGCTGATAATATATATATGGCCTATACAAAACCAATTTCAAGAAGTACAATCTAAGAAGAAACATTCAAAACATAGCATGAAAACCACATAAAGAAAGTAGGACAACGAATTGAATGAAGATATTCTCAGAGATCTTGGGAAGCACAGAGCCAGAGCGCAGTCGATAACGCCGGGAAGAAATGTTCTAGACTTAGTTACCGCAGTTGAATCCCCCACAAACCGAGAGGATGATGATGAGAATCAAGGCAATGATGATTGCAACGATAATGAGTTTTGTCTTCATGTTCTTGAACCACATCTTCCTTCTCATTCGCGTTCCTTGTATATAGAAAACTTGCGCCTGTGACAATTCCAAGTTCATTTAAAGGTTGGAAACCCAAGACAACACTAGTAAGAGAGCGGTGGCAACTCAAGCATGTATGTGTGTTAGTATGGAACTTAGAACCATTTGCCTAAGAGAACTAACCTCTGAACCGAGGTTTTCGGTTTTGTCCACTAGCATATCACATATCTCACCACGGCTAAGAATCTGCAAATGAATGAATGCATTCCACAATGTAAAAACGGTCAGCATACATGCCTATAAACCGAGAACTGGACATCCCCCTCAAAAATTAAAGGAACCAAAAGATCATGATACTTAATTAATACGAGCTTAACTCTACTAGAATTAAATAGATTAAAACATAAAATTATACCATCAACGAAAAAGGGTTAGAATATATCGAACCTTCTCAATGTTTTCCATCATTGCACTTTTAACTTCAGACACTTGAGCTTTAACCTTAGCAAGGTTGCTAATCTCATCAGGATGATCCATGCAATACTGCATGTGCTCTTTCAGTTTCGACCTTTAGAGCAGCCAAAAAAGAGTCTGTCATTGACCATGCACATAAATAATACAAACTTTTCAGTACCAATCATATAGATAAAAATATAAGTACCCAAATTCTTTATTCAAGCTGTTAGCTTGAGCAGTTGCAGCCTTTCCACCACCATATCTCTTGTTAAAATCCTCCTTCACTCGTTCCAAGAAAGCCATAGGAATCTCCCTCCCAGCAGAATCAACTGCAACAACACAATATGCTGCACAAACGAGAACAAAACCCGTCAATTTTTAACTCCATATTGAGAGGTAGAGCAGTAGATTCACAAATATATACCTCATAAGAATATTAACACTACAATAAAGAGTCCATATCCACCATCAAATTCAACATCACCCAAAGGCCAAAACCCAATCTACATATGCATTTTTGGAGGGTTTTTTTTGTCAAAAATCCTTGAGTTGTGACTTATTTACATTTCAATCCCTCTTTTTAAATTCTAAACATTCCGAAAATCTAATTGAACATATAAACGGTTTATATCCTTAATTCTCTCATAAATCTTATCTTTCTTTAATTACACTCGATTATCCCAAACAATGTATAAGTCGACAAATCGAAAACACAGGAGCATTGATCGAGCAATATTTTGACTCACTGAAAACATTTTCGACGAGGTAATTGAACGTATGACCATCGTCGTTGTAGGTAAACTTGTTGTTCGAGGAAGGAAGCTTCTCAAGGCACTGAGCAGCGACAGATGAGAAATAGCCTTTGAAATCTGTGAACTCAACGAGGATTACGGTACCACAAGCGACGAAACTGTAGATCAACGATTGTTGCACCATTTTTTTTTTCTTATAAAACGACGTGAGTCCGATTCGATTTTACGGGAGCGAACTCAGAGATTTATATTGGCGAGTGCACGAAGCTTTAGAGATCTAGAAGACTTAAGGCGTAGAGAATCGATGACTAAGTCGTGAGAGACAGAAAAAGAGACAAGTAGTTGAAGAAGAGCGTAGGAGAGAAATCTTAACGTAATTTAAGAAGTATAATAAAAAATCAAACCCTTGAAATTTAGAGGACTAAAAAGTTAAATTTCAGAAAGATATGATCAGTTTGTGTAAATACGAAATCTTGAATTGAAGGACCTAAAAGCAAATTCTGAAAATTATAATCAATATGTGGGGTTCTTGAAAGTTGGTGATGTTGGTGTAATGGTATTTTGATTGTTTCAACGTATTTTATCAGCGAAATTTGAATTTGGATAAGCTAGTTTGAACTTTGACCCTTGAATAATTGGATGGTAGTTTTTATATTATCTAAAATCTATTCAAATTTTAAAACTAAACATTTTTAAAAGTCATCAAAACTTTATTACATTGGGTTGGATAATGATTTTATAGATTGTCTTTTTGGGGTATTTGTATTAATTTTGTATATCTGGGTATTTCGAGTAATCTAAATGACTAAATAAGGTGTCGAAATTTTTTAAGTTGCGGAAAAGTTGAAAATGTCTAGTCACCATAATCTACATGCATCCCTTGTCCACTCCTATATAATTCAAATCTATTATTCTTGATTTAGTTATACTTATAGGTTGATTTACATAGCTGAATTTTCGCATGTACACTTCTAAAGTATATTTTATATTTATAACAAGACTATATTATAATATTTAAAGTTGAAAATTTATAGGTGTATGATTGGTTTTTTTTTGGAGGATTGGTTTGGAAATATATCGATTGCTTTGAGAGGGAGAGAAAAAAGAAAAGAATATAGGCCGAGAGAGGTGATCAATTTGTTTGAACTTGCCCACAAAAATACTTTACGATGTGATCATTTTTTACTCGCCAATCATTTGGTAAAAAAAGGAAGACAAATTCTTAACGAAGTTTATTCTAACTCTCTAGGAGATATCCCTGGTTCAGAGTCTAATGCCTCGTAAGGCTTACAAATTGTAATTAAACTAATAATGAGAATTGTGAATGTGAAATGTGATTGCAAATACAAATTAAAAATAAAATAAAACACACTAACGAAACAAGTTTACGTTTAATTCGTAAAGCGGTAGCATCCCGTAGCGGCAGTGCAACCTCGTCGGTATTTGTTATCCGGTTTATCCGGTTTACCATCTGGTTTAGCTGGTTTGTTTTTCTTCAATGCATCGTAACTTATATATCTCTTAGCTTGAAGTATCCTATGGTTCACATCCATACCTGAATTCATCTTCATGATCTTTTCTTTTTCTCCACCGTTCATGCAATTGTTACATTTTACCGGACGAGATCCGACCACCAATGCTGGAAACAAAGCCTCCGAGATGATCATGGCGATGATCAAAAGCTTCATGTAATTAATCATCGAGACTTCAAGAGAGTGTAAATTTGAAAGTAGTTGTTGATTCGTTTACGTTTTAATGGTTTGTGATGAAACAACTGGTTGATCTACATTTTTATAATGGTTCATTTTTTTTTTTGTAGGTTCATCGAATATTTGACCAGATTCTTACTCGAAAAAGAAAATCAAAATTACTCCGTCAAATTCATGGAATAAGAAATGAATAAGATGAACCTACACAAATAAATGATTCACTGGACTTGATTTGCTCAATAGTGAAAGTCAGTCAATTCGCATAATTAATTGGTCAAAAACTCAATAATTATTTCCATATATGATAGCATCTGACTGATACATTGATGGTTCAAAATAACTAAGGGGAGTGAATGTACAACAAAACTGAGAGATCTCATCTCATAGTCATAGAAACATGATTTAGGCTATGAATGTTTACTAGTTTTTAAGTGGTTTTTGGTTTTTAGATTTTGGTTTTTGGATTTTGGTTTTTAAAATTTTGGTTTTTGGTTTTTTGCTATAAATATAAAAATTAATTAAAAAAATCAAAAAATCAAAAATGAAACATGATTTCGTTGATAAATAAAATTTTCTCCAAAAACCTCAAAATCATGGTTTTTAGTTTCTCTTTGAAACTTGGAGAAACCACTCAAAAACTAGTTTTCCTAAATTTTAGGGAATCTAATTTTTTTAAATCTTGAATGGTGAAAAAACAGATTTTCCCACAAACAAAAACCAAAAACCACCTAAAAACTAGTAACCATTCAAGGCCTTAATTATTTTGAGCGATTTTGGATTTGGTGCAAATTTAACAAATTTTATTCATTATTTGAGAAGATTTTCTTTTAACTATTGGTGAGTGGTGACATAAAAACTTACTGCAGTTATATATAATGCAGTGCTAATTCCAAGTTGAAAAAAAATTGTATCCTTCTTTTTTTTTTTTTTTTGTCATCCGAAATTAATTAGAGCTCAAAAGAGCCATTCCTGGGGAATGTTGTTTACATATGTGATATGTAGCGGTTCTGCACGAATCTTTCGTGCTAGATTATCCGCTTTTACATTAGCATTACGAGAAATTAAAGATAAAGAGAAGGATGAGAATTCTTCCTTGTCGCTCTGAAATTCCTCCAAGTACACTGAAAACGCCGGCCATTCGGTTGGAGAAGACACCATCTTCACCAGATCAGAACAGTCTGTAAGGAACTCTACCTCTTGATTATCTGCACCAATCATACACTTCATCGCCCAGAGAAGAGCCTCGAATTCTGTATGTAATGGAGATAGACTTCTACGGAGGTTGGCAGCTCCCATGGTTGGCGGCTCTCCGTTTGATGATGTACAAAACCATCCTGCACCGGAGAACTTATCACTTTCTTTCCACGATCCATCCACAAAGCAACGACATCCAGAATAATTCGAATCAAGTGAAGCATCCCCCACTCGAGAACGATTTACCAATTCCACAATACCATTAGTTTCATGATGAAGCTCGATTTGGGCTGACTGCCACAATTGTGCTTCTTTTTCCGCTAACCGTAATACCTCTAACGGATCTTTATCAATATTTTCAAAGGTTTTTTCATTCCTTGCTTTCCAAATATACCAGATAATCCATGGAAAGGCTGAAGAATCAAATTCCGAAGGTATTCTCCAAAATAAATTATCCAAATTCGCAAAAATAGACTCCATTGGAAAAATTCCCATTGCCGTAGGAATCTGGGAAAGTGCCCAAACCTGTCGTGCCGGGTGGCATTGAAAAAGTGTATGATTGATTGTTTCCACTGGTTCGCCACATCTGGCACAGCCTGTGTCACAATCAATTCCTCTTTTCCGCAAATTTTCCGTAACTGGTACACAACCCGTTAAGATTTGCCACAAAAAGTGACGTATCTTAGGTGGACACTGCACTTGCCAAGAATGTGCTTTTAACGGTTTGATGTCTGGGCCAATCAATGATAAATTGGTCTCCAACTTTTCTAACCTTGTGGTATGATATCCCGATTTGACTGTATATTTTCCAGATTTTGTAAAATGCCAACCTAGTGTATCTTCCTTAGTTGGCGCACCCACAGGTAGGGCACTTATTAGGGCGACATCTTCTGGATCAAAGATCTCCTCTAAGAGAGCAATATTCCAAAAATTCGACCGACTATCTATAAGATTACTAACTTTTAACAATGGGTCAACACGTGAACCATTACTCTTTGCTGGTCTCGGGAATTGAGCTGGAATCCAGGGATCCTCCCAAACTGAGATGGATGTCCCCGATCCGACCCTTTTAATAAGTCCTTTATTAACCAGAGATCTAGCTGAACAGATACTACGCCATCCATATGATGGGGAGTATGATTTTATATTTTCCATAGGATTGGATTTCCGAAAGTACCGCCCTTTAAACACCTTCGCAAAAAGAGACTCTGGAACCGTAATCAACCGCCATAATTGTTTGGCTAATAGAGCTGAATTAAAATCGTCTACATTGCGAAAACCTAACCCTCCTTCTGATTTACTATTGCACAACTTGTTCCAAGCCATCCAATGCATACCTCTGGAATCCCCATTTGAACTCCACCAAAATTTAGCAACCGCACTAGTAAGTTTAGAAGTGATTGTTTTTGGTAGCCTGAAGCACGACATAACATAAGTTGGTAATGCTGCAGCTACCGATTTAATCATTACTTCTTTCCCACCTTTCGATAAAAATTTTGCCGACCATCCGTTAATTCTTGTTTGCAATCTATCTCTGACAAAAGAGAAAATTTTTGTTTTAGATCCACCCAAACTCTCCGGCAAACCGAGGTAAGAGCCCATCCCACCGATATTAGTGATTCCCAAGGTAGATTTGATTTCATCCTTGATATCCTCATCTACCTTATGTCCAAACTGAATCGAGGATTTTAAAAAATTAATCTGTTGTCCTGAGACTGCTTCATACTTTTTTAAAATCCCCAAAATTACCTCACACTGGTCCTTATTTGCTTTACAAAAGAATAAACTGTCATCCGCAAATAACAGATGTGAAACCGAAGGGCTTGCATTTGCTATCTTAATACCCGTAATTAGTTTTTCCCTTTCTGCTTTCCGAATATTCGCAATTAGCACTTCTGTACAAAGGATGAATAAATAAGGAGATAACGGGTCTCCTTGTCGTAATCCTCTTTCTGGTACAATTAGTCCTCTAGGTTGCCCATTAAGGAGCACTCTATATTGAACTGTTGTAATACACCACATTATCCAGTTAATCCATTTCTCGCAGAAACCCAATTTTCTTAGAACCTTCTCAACGAAAATCCATTCCACCCTATCATACGCTTTACTCATATCAGTTTTAATGGCCATGAATTTTGCCTTACATGACGGGTTAGTTCTCAGCCCATGAAACATCTCTTGTGCAATAAGTATATTATCTGAAATCAACCGTCCTTCGACAAAAGCTGATTGTGTTTCCGAAATAAGTTTTGGTAAAACCGTTTTAAGTCTTTGACAAAGAATCTTCGATATAATTTTATAGCCCACATTGCATAGA